CCCCCAGCCCTGTTTGGCACCACGCGCCCACCTCTTTGATGCTCTTCATCCAATTTTGAATGTTCTCAAAGGATTTCTCGTCCGTGATGTCATAGACGAGGATGATTCCCTAAGGAGGAAATGGGGGTTAGGGCAGGTTGGGGGGCAGCCGTGGAGAGGGACCTCTAGACGCCAGCCTTCCCATCCTGCTTCTGCGATGCGTCACACTGACCCCTGAACTTGGTTTTTTTTTCCTCCTCCCCCCCATCCCTTCTTCCTCTTGTGTTGTTTCCCTTCACTCATATGCCCACTTCACAAACGATATTTTAGGCAACAGAGTGGTAGGGGGAAAAAAATTCTCTGAACCCAATTCATAACAGCCCAATCAAAAGTCCTAAACTGCCTGGATCGGTCCCCTTCATGCGTCTGGCACCTCTGCAACAGCTTGGCAATGCGGGAACCCTGATTTCGCTAAGGGGTGAGGAATGGAAGGCCCTTTTGCATGCAGTGGGAGAGACAAATAAAGCATGCATCTAGTCCTCAGTGTTTGTGGGGGGTGATGGAAGCTAAAAACGAAGATTTCCGATGCGAGAAAGCCGCATTTCTGTCTCCTCTGCAGGGCTTGAATCGCCTTACTTCTTCGTGCTTTCGGACCACTAAGATTAAAATCCACCTTTCGGCATTTCAGGATTTTATTGGTCTGAAAGCACACGCTGGATCTCGCCTGGGTCTCTCCTCCGGGGCCACAAAACACCCCAGCTGCTGCCCGCCGAAGACGGTGCCCACCGAAGATGCTCCCCCCAGACCCCTCAAGGGACGCCCAGCCAAGGGGGGGCTCCGGGGGTGGCAGTCCCCTTACCATGGCTCCTCGGTAGTAGGCGGTGGTGATGGTCTTGAAACGCTCCTGCCCTGCCGTGTCCCTGCAAGGGAGACCACAAGGGCTGTGTGAATGGTCACTCTGTCTTGAAAAATTCACTTTCTAGGCCAGTGTTGCTCGACCTCGGCCCCTTTAAGACGGGTGGACT